TTCTTTAATTTAAATGTTCTTTAATTGATTTGGTGATCAAAAGTGTAGTTTTTTGGTGATCATTTCGATAGAAATAAATTTGGTGATCAAAAGTGTAATTTTTGGTGATCAAAACACACTTTCCTCATAAAATAAAATAGAGATATGTTAGAGGATGGACAATGAGCCGATATATATTTGTTTATAGGAAACAGGAATCGAAAAAAAGAAGTGAGAATTTGTTTGCTTCAGGCGTGTTATAGTTGTCGAACTCTCTAGTTAATATTAGAACAACTAATTTAGTTCACTTTCTATTGTCATGTTTAATAAATTTTCAACTCTTCTTTTTCCCTGTTCATATTCAATTTATTTCGAGATAAAACGGAAAAAGAGGCAGGTTAATAAGATCCTAGAAAATAAGAAATGAAAAGAGAACTATTTATATTCTATAAAACTCTTTCGTTTAAATGATAATTTTCAAACCTTTTCAAATTTATTGACAGAGCATACACGACTAGAACTTAAAATGTGAAACTTCCTATTGAGTAGTTCAGGCATCATTGATTTTAATTGCGTACTTTAAACATCCATTGTGTTGGATTCTATAACAGAAATTTGATACTGTTTTCAATAAAATTCTATTAATTTTGTCTTTGTGATGTGAGCACTTTAATGGAAAGAAAAATGACTCCTGAGAAAGACATAATTTTATTAATAATGTCACTTGTAATTTGATCTCTCTCTATGGTCTAACTCTGTTAAAAGTTGACCATATTTGCAGTCAATATCGTCGGTTAATGTAAAAATACCAGTATAATAAGATCATTAGATAAGTCCCGTTGATGAAAACAAGTCATAACCACATCATCACACGTTCTTCTGACTTTAAAAAAATTTTTCTAGTTAGAAATTCAGAAAATCCCTGTTCAACGACCAACACAGAGTAATTCTACTCACAGATAATTTGAGATTAAGAAAAATATTCGATGTCTATCAAACTTCTTTAATATGACAGTTTTACAATCTTTTCTACTTATTTATACTTAAAAACGAAAGGATTGTAATACCCTGATGTCACTTGTTTGAACCTTAAAACGTGTTAAAAATGTTATTAACCTCAAAATCCATATGTACAAGGAGAATTAACATGTGATTAAAACGTTTTTGTAATGAAAATATCAAGCCATAAAATGTTCAAGATGAAAGTAAGTCCCATCGTTCTTTGATATTATGATGATATACCTCAACACTTGAAAATTTGAGTTTGACGCAGTGATGAGTGTCAAAAGTTAACGATATACTGACTTTTTTCGAAAAGTTCAATTGTCTCATTCAACCATTTTACTTTAAAGTTACATTCAAAACATAACATTTATCCATATATATTCTAAGAGCCAAGGAAGTAAAGGATTTCGTTGCATATTCTTAACATGTTCACCGTCCCTGTATCATATATGATTCATTTAATTTTTGACCATGAAGTTGATGTACATATGATACATATTTCAAACCTTCTCTTACATGCTTCTATAGTCAATTTTTGTGCATGTTTCACGTGTACAACAAAAATTATATTTACTCTAATACAATAAATGTTTCATATCTGATACGATCTTCATGGTAAAAAATTAAATGAATCATATATGATACAGGGACAGTGAACGTGTTAACTTAGCTTTGCAAATTAAAATCTTCTTTCAAAAAGTAATTAATTATTCTTACTACTTTGTTTTATGCATATATCCCAGAGTCTGTGTGTGAAGTTAAAACATAGTTTCGAATGATATTTGACTCAGATAGCTCAAATATATGTATTTAACTTTTATTAATGTCAACTGATTAAGAAAAAAAAATTATACTTAAACTCATTGGATTAAACTTAAAGTTAAATGTAAAAATCATGATATAAAAAATTATCTAAATAGTTTTATCTGTACTGATGATCTTATTGTACTAGAATTCTGAACTGAAATTGTTGAGTTGTTGAAGAGAGTCTAGTTGGACTTTTAACAAAATTATCCTGTGATGATGATGAATTCTATTTATTCTCCTATTAAAATGGAGAACACGTCAAATAGACACAGAGTAAAAACAATGATCCCTTTTTATAGAGGTGAAATTATCATTGAGTACAATATCTTCTTCCAAATATAGGAGACATGTTTTGATTTCTAGTTAATATAAGAACCTTCGAGTTTGTTTTGTTTTTCATCTGCTTTTAATACCATCAGAATAAAATAGATTTATGTACATATTTGTAGAAGTAGAAAAAATAGTTTTTTTTTGTTTTGATAATCTCATGGTGAACTACAAAATTATTTTTAATTTTTTCATTATAGAATATATAGAAGAAATAATGCTTTAAGTTTGATTGTCAAACTAAAATAACCTCATAATAAATTATTTGAATGTAAATGATATTTTCAAAAATCTTTTAACTAAAATTAATACGTGTATAGAAAAAGAGTATAGTCTTAATTGAAATGATCGTTGTAGTAGTAGTACTAGTAGTTTATTGCTATATTTCTGCACCTTTAAAAAAAATAATATACAATACATTATTTTCGTATCTCTACTGGATGAACCTCGTCTCTGGTAGTGAGAAAAAATGATCGTTGTGAGATCGATAGTTAATATATAATTTAATTTATTAATTCGATTTCTAATAACTGATCCTATTTTTGAATACGAAGAACACTATCATTTTTCCTCTCTAACGGATCATAATTTAAATACATAATAATAACTTTATCTTATATAAATAACATTTATGAGTATGAACATTTTTTAAAAAAAAGTTAGATATTTTCTCTTATATATTCAATCGGTATACAGTTTTTATAGAAGATTATTGAATTTTATAATTGCCTCTAGGATTAGTTATCACGCAGCTAATTCGAAAATTAAATTGCATTAAAATGATGCTTATTTTATTCATAAAGATTATTGAGAACACCTTTCATATTTTGATAATCTATTTCGTGTTTATTTTAGTCTGAATAATTGTATACAAAAAGAAAGAAAGAAGTAACAATATTGATCAAAAATTGTATACTTCAGATGAACAGCATCAGATATCTACTCTCAAAGAATTTATCTAATAAAAATATGAAAAAGAGCATATACATAGATTATCATCGACTTAGAATTGATATTCTATTCTTTTTTTCTCTCTCATCTCTATTCTTCGAGGCAAAAAAGAAAAAAGAAAAAAAGTAATATATACTACTGTTCGTCTCTGTGTTCTTTTAATGATGCCAACATTGAAATGTATAACTAATCACAAGCAGTTGTTGTCATTTATACCTTTTTTTTGTAAATAGTTGTTATTTCTCATCTAAATTCAATATATTCTCCCATAGTTTATCTCAGGTAATAAAAAAAACAAAACAAAAAACAATGGACCACATTCAAGGCTAATTCAAATGATACAAGAAACTTTTTTGATTGATCAGGTAATTAAAAATTCGTTCATATTACACTTAAAAGACAAAATATTCCTCATTTCATTATACTCTTCTATTTAAGAAATGATGTCTAACTATGATTTAACTGAAAATGAAAATAAAATATTTGTAATATTGAACATATTTATCTTATTTTTTTAATCATCAAAATGGTATTAACATTATGGACGCTGACTACGACGTTAGTCGGATCGAATCTTACATTGCTTTATTATCCTATAAATATTTTAAATTCAACTACACTAACAGAATCTAATATAAAACTCCCGTTATCAATGTCATTGAAAATTATTACTGCGATATTTATGATATTAATTGATATAAGTGCATTTACTGGTAATGCTTTAGTTATTGCAGCATTTTTTCGAACAAAACGTTTACAAACGGTAACAAATTATTTTATTGCTTCGTTAGCATACGCTGATTTATTAGTCGCCGTATTTGTTCTACCGTTATCTATTTATTATTATTATCGTGATCGATCGTGGAAATTAGGTTTAATTTTATGTGATTTATGGGTTAGTTCCGATGTATTACTATGTACTGCTTCTATATTAAATTTAACATGCATATCGGTCGATCGTTATATGGCCATAACAAAACCGTTGACATATACTGCGTATCGTTCAAAATATTTAGCACGAATAATGATTGTATGTGTATGGATTGTATCCGCTATTATCACTTGTCCACCGATATTCGGATGGAGAGATGCAAACAGAAAATCACAAGTATGTGTTAAGAAAATTTTCTTTTCTCAAATTACAAAAGTTAGTTTATTTCTAATAAGGATAAAATTGATGAACATCAATGATTTCAGAAATTGATGATGAAAAAGAAAAAACTTATAGAGGCTATCATCTTACATTTATAAGAAAAACTGTCAAATGTCAAATTGAGTGGATAATTATTCGAAAAAGAAAAATCGAACCTTTAAAGCATGTTCTGACTTTATACATTTCCACTTTCTTGTCTTCTTTAAAAGAAAGCAGAGAAAAATAAGAAATACTGAATTACATTATAGTCTCTTTTTTCGTATACTGACTTTTGGTCAAAATTCGAGAATAAAATATACCAATGAGATATAATTAAACGAAAGTCTTGAGAATTTAATACATGTATAAGAATATGATATGATCTTTCCAGTGACAAGTCTGTTTATATCATGGTGAATTTGTTAAATAAGTAATTAAAAGATTGTGTTTGAGGCTAACAATTTTTGAGTTTTTTTTCCCCTTTGTACTATAAGGTTTTTTTGAACGCTCTGGTGCATAAACAGAGTCGAAGACAAGTTAACCGCGACTGTGATCAATCTCTTTTGTTTAGATTATATCATAGTGATGAAAGGGTGAAATATGAATCATTTAAGAAATAAATAAAACATTTATTTTTCTCATTATTTTCATACCAATAAAGTATGAAAAAATTGAAAAAACAAAAATATGAGTGCATGTAGAACAATATAAAATGGTTTTATAGCACAAATTAAAATCCAATGTTATGTCGGTACATAGTCAGGGGCAGTTAAACGCACAAATTGCGGGGTTTACATTGTAAATCGATTTTTTCGAACAATAAATCTTATCATTTTAATTTACTGATACTTATAGAAAATTTTTGTTCATAAAATCACCTTGAATTTTATCAAAGACAACTGCTAATTAGTTTTAAGATATAGTCGAATTGATAGTCCGTTCAAAAAGATTAAATTTGTTGTGTATACGATACATATAATAAAATAGAAGTTTTAATTCAAATGACACTAGAATATTGGATATATTCTTATCGAGAAGAGCGTTACAATCCTTGGCAATATAAATATCAACGTTCGAAACGTCAGTTTATTCTCTATTTGTCAAGTAATTTAGAGTTTATATGGCAGTAAAATTTGTTGATATTTGTGTTGATATTTGAATTACTTTAACAAAACATGATATTTTCATTTAGGTCGAAAAGTATAATGAGTGTGAATTAAATACGGCTACTGGTTATGTTATTTATTCGGCATTGGGTTCATTTTACATTCCGGCAATTGTCATGATATTTGTTTATGTTAGAATATTTAAAGTTGTTTATAAACGTGAAAGTTTAATTAAAAGATTTCATCATCATCATCACGATACAAATTCATTTGATATCAGCAACAATAAAGCATCGTTCGCAACACTACAAAAAGATATGTGCATTAGAAATGATTTTACCAAAAAATTGAAAGCTACTGCAACAGTTGCACAACAACGAAAAATAAATAAAAAAGTTTTGTCCATATATTGTTGTTGCTTTTGTTGTTGTACAAACAAAAAAGAACAGCAAAAAACAAATGGTTCGGTGGTTTATCGTTTTGGTAATGGTAATGGTAATGGTGGTGATTATTCAGGAAGTGATTCTACCAGTGCACTAGAAACAAATAACATATGTCGACCGTGTACATTGAATATGACAAAAGCGAATGGTACGCTTAAAAATTTAGATGATGTCAAACATCGTCGTAATTATTTTCGTTCCGGTTTTCCCACGGCTGTACCCTATACATTTCGTACCGGTGATTCACCGTGTTTTGAATCAAAATGTTTTGATTGTGCAGATACTATACAACAACTTTCGATAAAATGTCGATCAACATCATTCGAATCACATCATATTGTCGAAGATTTAAATGCTGCACTTAGTCGA